GCAGTATCCCGACTCATCAGGAGGAAACCGAAGGTCTGGCGCAAATGACGTGTTGCGCTTGCATTAGTTGTGCAGAAAACAATATTCTTGTTGTCCACGGTTGGTGATAGTTATCTCTCTCGACAGCTTATATATGCTATGTCCCTGGTTTTCCTCCATTCTTACTCCCCCCAATTAGCCTGTGTGCTCATTCTTCTCGTATGCCGTTTACTGTGATGCTAACCGTGAAGATAACCGTGGTTACATCGGTTCCCGATTCACCCTACAGTTTTGTACAGTGTGTAACCTGTGGGTTGCTTCTCTTATTTGTCGTCCACGTTCCGTCAGAAACTTCTGTGCCCTACAACCTTCAGGCTTCTTCGGTTAAACATTTCGTAGCACCCGATTACATGTCGGCTCACTTGCAATCCGGATGTGCCAAGGCTGCGTATCACCTTAACAGCTTGCGGTCCAGTATCTCCTACTTGCCGTTTAGTTTGACATATATACACCGTAGACGCACGATCTTTAGCTTTACTCCATTATTTAGGTCGAGACCTGGTCCCCTTCTATACGGGTGACTCTATTCATTTCTTTGCCACTATCAAAAAACTTTTCGTCTCCTCTCTACGACCCCCCAAGCATTTATTAAAGCCTGAGCCGTTCAAAACAAGTCTTTAGGGCCCAACACTCTTTTCGACCTTCCACTGCGGCGCTCTTTCGCCGGTTGCTGCTCTGCAACTTAGGTTGCACATTCCAGCCTCTAATTCCCAAGATTCTCATCAACTCCAGTGATTCCACTGGCTCATCAACTCTCTGACGGTCTCGGCTAATCACTGGATCGCAATCAATGCAATGCCCCCTTACCAATCTAACAGGTCTTTCACCAGATTACTCAAGAAATATGAAATGTTAGTGTGATTACACTATGATAGAGTTGCGCCAAGTGTGTAGGCCTTCACGCACTACGTAATCCCTAAATACGATCCCACATTCCAGCTGACGCTCCGATTTCCCGGTCCATATAGGTCAATATGCATGATAGTCTCCTGACATTTGGCCGCCTTCTCGTATGTATCCTTTGTACTACTGCCCTGGATCCGTCCCAAATTTTGACAGCCAGATGAACACTTGAGTCGCCCAGTTCATAACATCTATGCTTTTCTGTACATCGTCGACAGCGGTCTACGCCCCGGGGGCAATCTATTCCACTAAAAGTCTACTTTCATTCTTGAAGCGAGAGTATCTTCCTTTTGTGCCGTATTTGTGGGTTTTTTGCCCTTATTCCTATTACAGTAACGTGTAACGGCCTACTGACTTAACCGTTCAAAGTCACCCACTCCTGGCAATAATTGTCACCCTGTAGGCCTTCTGTACCCAACCGGCTAGTACAGTAGAGAATTCATTATATCAGCATCCGTATTTATACGATTGATAACAGTGTATTGCGTCATAGTCACGTTCCTCTCGTTTTGCTTTAGCTTTTGTTTTATTGATATCAGTCATGTTTTGTTTGTGATTACTTAATCAATTATAAATAAGCATCTCTCCAACGGGTCCAAAAATAAAGCCATCTTTATTGTTATTTTCTGAGGGCCATCACCAGTTTTGAAGTTGGGAGCGTATCTCCGTTATTCATTACCATGTGTAGTTTTTGCTCCCTTAAGTCTACGTTTCAGCGTAGTTGAAATTCGGCAGCGTTTGTATTCAAAGCGTCCCTTTCTCAAGGATCAGTTTGATCAATGAAGCTTCAACATAACGCCAAAAAACACTTATTGCGTGCAATGAAACCTCATAAAACCCCTAAATTAAATAAGATAGGGGTTTCTTGTCAGTTACAACCTATGTGGTACTATCTGACGTGATGTGTAACGTCTTCCAACTTACTGTTCTGCGTCGTCAACCAGCGGTCGCAAGTCCTCTTTAGTTGAGTATTTAGACCTATGGAACAGGCCGCATACTTTGACTCCCAGCTTAGTACACGCTGAAGCGGCTTGACCTCTAAAACCAAGGGTCTCGTAGTGGCAACAAAATGGCAGCTGTGATAAATAATTATAATGAACTACATAACCCACCACATAAATGCTCTGGCCCAAATACATCTTGAAACTGGTATTTTGGGACAACGCTACTCACACCATCAGCCGGGAACCCAACTCGCAGCTTAACACACGAATTACACATCTCGTACACGATTAGGGTCAATTCCGGAAAATTAGATTTTCATGCAGGCAAACCTGGAAAATCAGGCAACGCAACAAAAATTCAGTTTGCACTAATCAGGTAAAAATGTGAACCACTACAAATATAGGCGCTGTAAGAATCTATCATATTACAAGAGGGCAGACCATGACGCAACAAAAATTAGACCAGGAGCCAAAAGTTCCTTATATAAAAACTTACCAAGGCATTGCCTGAATCAAAGGGAGACAGACCACAACGCAACATGATTTGAAAGCAGCCAACAGGATCCCTAGAAAGATATGTTCCTATCAGCCAATCGAAGCAGTGGATGTCAGCTTATCTTCGTCAACTATTGGATATGAAGCAGGTAGTGAATTATTAACCTGTTAAAGCATTGAAACGACGTAATCTTGTTTCGCCATGAAAAGTTCCCAATTGAGTTTCCAGGCTCCGAGGACAGATGGGGGCCACTTGAGCAACCAATAAAACGGTGAATGTTTGCAATCGAACCTTAACTTCCAAACTCAAGCACGGCTGCGTTTGCAGAAATTTCATAAGAAGTTGTGACAAACTGCCAAACATTTATCTAGAAGTGCGCATTACGTAAGAGAGTCAGTCCAAAAACGTAAGCCATGTACGGTGCTAAAACTGGTATCTTCTACGACTGTTCAGGATATTTATCTGGAGAGTTCGGAGTAGAGTTGAGCACGAATGCAAGCTTCCAGTTAAGACCTTTGGCAATTACCTGATATTTGTCTGCCATTTTACTCCTCTCTTCAAATTAGTTCTCATCTCATCATCGGTTAGTGGATTCTGAAAACACACATCAGTTCACCAACGTTCCCTGTTCATTTTTTCTAGATGGGTTGCTGCAGAAGATCCAGAAGCAAACGATGGGTAAAACAGTGGTTATTATATTAGTGTGTACAAGAAAGGATATCCGGTGCAATGATTCGCATGTTCCCTACAAGTTTGGGAATGAATCTACTATTAGTATAGAGGGTCTCGTCATGACTTCGGTTGTTACTCCAACAATTCGGTATCAGAGGGTGTTTGGAATTCGAAAGGGGACCAGGCGGCTTATGCGTCAACTGGGGATGTTTGCTTTGGCATAGGGAATGGCCTGGGTTATCCCATGTGTGTAAGTGAGGCCGGTGTCGGTGGTTTAAAGCAAGCAGTGAAAGCTGTGCCCTCTACTACAGTTTTATATACTGAAAAAAATTTGCTCCCTTCATGACCGTAGAGGACCGGAAAGGGATCAATGGATATACATGCCTACAGGCAACTAAAATGAGGGCTAAATTATTCGAGGGTACCCAACAACGATGAAAATTTGTAAACTCATGAACCAAACAACGTGGCTCAAAATAAGTATCAATATTTTGGTGTACGTCTACAGATCATCCGAATGCTGAGGCGTTCCTTACACATTTAAGATCGTCCCCCGAGTAAGGTGGGGGTATCTTCTGTGCCTGTTGAGTGGCTAGTTGCCGTGCGTAACCCCACGACTTCGAGCAATTTGGATGAGCTCGCTTCTAAACCGTGCGAAGTTGGGCGTGAGCTGATGGAATTGAGCTCACGATGAGCCTCGTATTAGGACTGATTCTTACCTCACCCGGTCAAACACATCTTTTCTGGGTAGAATAAGTGCTCGGCATGGTTTTCCGATCGCCTACATGAGCTAGTGCGAAGCGGGAAGACGGGAGCAAAAAGCATACTCATTGAGAGGAAGGCTAAAATTGTCACCTAGTCGTACTTACTTTACTTAATTTGTGTTTAAAAAAATTATGAAGGTGCTTCTTGCCTCTTAAACTGTCGGTAAAGGATAAAAAAGGACCAATCAGTCACAGATAGCACGACCAGTCCCACCTAATAAGCCTGCTACATTTAGCCCGACAGCAAGATACTCGAAGATTGGACTACTTTGGATTCTAGCTTTCTTCATCAAGCGCTCCTGATTACACTGCTAAAGGGTATTTTATCGGCTACCGAATCATCCCGTGCATCCAGAAGTTCCCATGAGATCGCTTCAGATCGAACGCTTCAGGTCTTTTATGGGTAAATCTTTTTGCACATCGTCGGTGCGACGTTTAGAACTGAGATATTTGTTGTTTGCCCAGCCACTTCATTATTCCATATGTTTGGATGAGTCAAAATTTTTCAGACCATCTAAAACTTCCATGCAAGCACTTTCAGCCTGCACCGCAGCCTCGGCAGCGCGTCATAATTTGAGGCTGTCTCCCAGTTAATGCTGGTAAAGCATAGCAATTATTGTAGCGAGCGGTTTGGTGGAAAAGTAGTCATCCAATCTGTCAGAATGTCTGAAGCCACTATTACTGGATATCAAGCGATGGGTAATGGTTTAGAACACGGAAATGCGGAAGCATGCCACGTGACAGCCTGTCGTCGTTTTGGGTGTCGGTTAAGCCCAGGCCCGTTTTGGTTGGATAAATTCATCTATAATGCATACACTGAGACCACCTCAAACAAGCGTGAATGACATCAGAGTATATAAAGTGTATGGGAATCGCAAATTACACGAGTTTTTGTGCTCCTATCCAACATCCCGAGTACCACGGTTGGGTTCAACTAAAACACTTGAACTGAAGATATTGATGACCTTAAAACTCGTGTAAATAGTGCGTATTTAAAAACCATAGCGCTCCGGATAAATGGTTATTATCTCAGATTAGTCCTCCATTACGAGTAACTAAATATTTTTAGCCCGTCTGATTGAATTTCAAAAGTAGTGGCATGCTTTTATCATCTTCATTGTCCAATAACACGCCAAGAACAGTTGCAAGTCTTCTAGATACCTGTGCGTTGAATATTTTCATATGGATTTTGGCAACAAGTACTATTCCCGGTAGGTTCTTTCGTAGTTTTTCATTTTTTCATTTTTAGCTTCAAGAGGCTATGAGAGGGAAGTGACCCCAGATGTGTCCATTTTGGACGAGACACCGTCAGCCTATACTGGCCGTGTTATCTCGTATCCTAACAAGACTGTAGAGACCAGAGGATTTATCGGAGAGAAAATCGTGATGCAATGTAATGTGTTTAACATGCCAAGAGATGCGAGGGTTTGTGCATCCAATGACCATAGTTTACGGAACGCTATTTAGATCATTTGGAGAAGAGAAAGTTTTCAAGGTGGACATATAGCGGAAGTAATAAACGATGGTTTAATGTCCCGGGATATGTCACGATGGAAGATTGGACAGGGAAAACAACAAGATTCAGTAAGGTACATGCGCGCAAGAATGTTTTTCACCACTTCTATGAGTGTCCGTCTTACTCTGGCACACAGGACAAATAGGGAAAACGGTGCTAAAAAAACATTTCTCGATCACACGTGTTGTAGGCTCATATTTCTATTCCAGATGGCACAAAGCTGACATGTCCCAGTCAGGCAGCTACTTTAAGTACGAACTGAGGATCACCGGCCGAGGCAGATCGTTAAAATTATGAGAAAGTTGTCCATCATTGAAAAAAATGAACCGGGACATCTGAAGGGTATGACATAAGTAGTTAAAATTTGAAAAAAGGTGCACGATAAAACGAAATAAATCTACTGGGTAAAGAACGATGAATATCATGACTATGAGACTCCCAAGTCGTGCATTTTGTGGCAGTCACCAAATTTCAAGTTTGGGTAAGTGAAAAAGATAGACGCACGTTCATTTATCTTAACGCCACCGGTGTTTTAGCGACATCTACCAATGTCATACGTACCCAGAAATTTGGTCTAAACATTCACGCCAGGCATCACTATTATAGCAGAAGAACTGGATAAGAAGCTGTGTGTACACACATCGAGTTGTCGCTACTGCGCCTGTTAGAGGGAGTGTGTAGTGGTTAACGGCCCTATGGAGTCTCTAGTGAACTGAACAAATTACTGATGTAAGCCAGATACAAAGTCACAAGGAGAAAAATCCAAGTAATTCTTGACTCACAGTTCAAAATAGGAGATTCCGTAGTTCCGTATTCCGTTGAACCACCACACAAAGAATAGTTCTATCTTCCTGGTATCCCAGATCTCCGGTGATCGAAATATTATTCCACAAGCGTGAATATATTAGTCCAGCGTTTGTAGCTGAAATGTTTGTTCACGTTTAGTATTAGCAGCGGTCAGATATAGCTAACCGGCGGTCACAACAACAGTCACTCAGCAGAAGTCTCAAAGTCACGTTGGAGCCAACGCGCGGGCGGTAGCGGTTGTATTTCAGTAAAACAAACTTTTGTACAGCGATGTGACTGGTAATGATGGGAAAAAAGAAGATGATACTGAGCATGAAAAAGAGCAGTTTACAAGTGCTACAGAACTCCCCCCCTAGAGCGTCAAATGGGTGAGCAAGACGCTCGAAAAGGAAATGCGTCACGACAGTTAGTCTTTGAAACGAACAGGAAGTTTGCATTGTCGACCAGATCTTGTGAGTGATGGTGTGTGTGTGGTATTGGTGGTGGCACTGGTCGAAGGAGGGATCGTGTGACTGTTTGGTTGTGTAACGGAGGGGGTCGTAGTATGCTCATCATCAGAGGTTGGTCGAGTGTGCATGTAAGCAACTTTTAGTCGATCGATGCTAACAGTGTCTTTGCGGCCGTTACGATCAATGACAAAAGTTTTGTCTTTCCGAGAAATGACTCTGAAAGGCCCTTCGTATGGCGGTTGTAAGGGCTTTCTGACCGCATCGACGCGCACAAAAACATAGTCACATGTATCAAGGTCGTGATGTACATGGGTAGGTTTGCAAGTTTGTCGAGTAGGTGAAGGACCGATATCACGCATGTATTGGCGAAGCCGGGAAGCGTAGGAATTAGGGTCCGTTTCACCAGTTGTTGCCGAGTCGACTATCATTTTACCTGGAAGACGTAAGGTAGTGCCGAAGACGAGTTCAGCGGCTGTGCAGCCCAAGTCTTCTTTAACAGTATTGCGTACATTGAGAAGAATGAGTAAGAGGCGTTTTGACCAGTGTGTGCTAGAGGAGGCTATCAGCGATGCCTTAAGTTGTCGATGAAAGCGTTCGACCATACAGTTGGCAGCCGGATGGTATGCTGTTGTTCGGAATTGATTCGTACCAAGTAGCCTTTTGAGGTCATGAAAAAGTGTTGACGTAAATTGTGGACTTCAGTCAGTGGTAATGGTAGCGAGTACACCGAATGTAGCAATTCAGCTATCGACAAACGTTCTAGCAACGTTTTTGGCAGAGGTGTCGTTGATCGGAATGGCCATAGGCCAGCGTGTGAAACGGTCGACACAAGTGAGCATGTGTGTGAAACCTCTGGATGAGGGCAAGGATCCAACCAAGTCAATGTGTACATTTTGAGAGCGTGAGTCGGGAAGCTGAAAAACACCAGTTGGAGAAATGGTGTGTCGGTGAATCTTGCTCTTCTGACAGTCAAGACATTGCTTGGCCCAAGTGCGTATCTCCTTTTGCATATTTGGCCAAACGTATCTTTGTGACACAAGTTTGGCAGTCGCCATGCTGGGATGAGAAAGTGAGTGGAAGTGGTCGAATACAGAGCGTCTATGTTTTTCAGGAACAAAAGATCTTGGGCGTCCTGTGGATATGTCACAAACAATGAAACTGTCAGAGTTGAGGAGCGGTAGTGTGACGAATTTGAGAGATGGAAGGCTG